TATATATACTGGTCCATGAGGGAGACCAGTGCCAAAGACCCCGAGAGGGACCCCAAGCACGCAGCCCCTAGGGACACCCGCGCCGGAAGGGCCGCCCACCCACCCCACAAAGAGGACCACCGGAGAGAACCGGAAGAGCCCCACCAGTGACCACATACAGCAACCCCTGGGGCCAGCAGCGACGAACTCACAGGCCCCGCCGGTACCCACTGCGCCATAGTGGAGCCAGGCACCGACACAGAGGCCCGGGCCCGCAGCCCCCCCCCAGGCCAAGGCCCGATAGGACCAGAGGGACCCTAGCCCCACCGGGCAGCCACCGGGCCGAGCCGGCACACGCCCAAGCACCCAGYCCCGGACAACGAGAGCCACCAGCGCACCGGCGGGCAAAGGCACAACCCACCAGAGGACAGCACGGCAGGGGAGTAGTGGGCCCTCAAATGATCCCGAAGAAGGGGCTGCCCAATTCCCAGCCTGACAAAAATACAAGCATACATAAACACAATCACACAGTCCCACCTTCATCCTCTCACCCACTCATTCAAAGACACACAAGATGGACGCCACAATCCACTCACACTCCCCATACATACATTATACCCCCCAGGCCCAGGATATGCACCTACACCCTGCAGAGGGCAGATCACACCCGAACCCAGGAGGTAGGCCCCTTCAGTCTGGGGTGGAGAAGAGCAGACAGCCAAGTCCCAGCCCGGGCCGCACCAGTCTGATCAACCAGCCCCCTGCCCCAGCAAAACCACACCCCGGACCACCCCCACACCCTACCAACGGCCAGGAGCCCACCCCCAACCGACCAACCCCCAGGCTCCGGCAGCCATCCCAGCCAGCGGGCCAACCACAGCAACCAGGAGCCAGACTCCGGGAGCCCGAACAGCCCCAGGGGAGCCGGAGCACCAGCCCCGCCTCCAGAGCCCCTCCAAGCCCCATGTCCACAAGCAGCCCAGGCCCCACCAGATGGTCAGCCCCCCTCCAGGACCCCATCCCCAGACGGCCAACGGGGAACGGGGGAGTAAAAAAGACCCCGACACACACACACCGCCACCCTCAGATGTACTGCTGATGTGTTATGTTCTACAATGCAATTAAAATGGGGAAGAAGACAGGGCAGAGGCCAGCACTATGCCAGTTTCCCCTCCACCCCAGCTCCAACCCTAACCCTAAATGTCTAAAAGAAAATTATGTGAGTGGGCACAGGCCACACAGACCTGTGTGTTTGTTTTAAAATAAACTGAGGCAGGACAAGCATGCACAGTAGATCTGCACATGGATACTGCCACTTCCTGTCCATTGACCAATGGAGGAAGAGTTGACCCAAGAAGCTCCGCCCACCTTATTTGCATAAAAGCTGTGCCCAAATTCAGAGGCTGGGTCCTCTGAAGGCCGAATTCGTCGGCCGCTTACGTCAGAGTGCCGCGCCAGAGGCTGTCCAAATCCGAATACTGACAAATGTGTCCTCCTTTATTCCAATGTGAGGGACGGTCTGATGGATCCTTCTCGGCCCATCATATCCCATGATGCATAGCAGACCGAGATTTTTTTTCTGTTAGTAACGGTGGACGACGTGAGAGAAAATAATACATTTTTAATAAAAATCTGTTGGTATAAAAATTAAAAGATTTAAGCAGTTGTGTTATTAATACTTTTATCATTTGTATTAACGTTTTTATTATTGTTATTCTTGTCAGAAATTAAATGAGCTGGTATAGAGAAATAAACATGCACCTACAGCAGGTCCATTAGTTCTTCAAATATTGCCTTTAAGATCATTTTGTTGTTTTGTGATATTAATAATGCTAATATATTGATGTTTTTCTACTTTCCATTTAATTTTGCTCCTGTTTAGGTGACAGGATGTACGCTGGGGAAGAACGGGAGAAGAGACCGTCCAAACTCACAGCCACTTTTTTCCAGTCTTTGTGGTCTACCAAGGACGTGGCCCACCTCGACCAGCTAGGCTTGGTCCTTCGGAGGACCCTGAATCTGGACACAGTCCACGAGGCAGAAATGCATAAGGTAAAGTAAAAACCGGAGACAGAGAAATGTAAAAACAACACGTGGATAATAATAAATTAATTAAAAGACTTGTGGGGAAAATTATTTAAAAATAATTAAATATAATAATTTAAAAGACACAGCA